AAATGACAACTCATGTCTATGGTTAGGAAACATAACCATCTTTGATCAACGAGCTAGTCAAGTAGAGGCATACTAGTGACACTCTGTTTGTCTATGTATTCACACATGTATTATGTTTCCGGTTAATACAATTCTAGCATGAATAATAAACTTTTTTCATGATATAAGGAAATAAATAATAACTTTATTATTGCCTCTAGGGCATATTTCCTTCAGAGTGCTTATGTATGCTATTGTTTGTTTGCGCTAGAATTTTCGGAGTGCGCAGCGTGCTACTACGAGTCCCTAGGTTTTACGGATCATCAGCAAGGCAAGTAACACTTTGATCATATCCCTTTTACCCAGTTTTTATGCATTAGTTTCAACCCTCAAACATTGCATGATTAGGATCTCTTAACTTGTGGGTTTGGAAAGTAGATGATAAGGTAGAACCTATTACCCTTTTTATTATCAACCTCTGGGATTTACTTCTACGTTATGCTACTTATTGCCATGCTATGCTCGTAGACGTGGATTGGGTTTGAGTGTATCCATGACAGATGTGAGATTATGAATTAATGGTTTACTTAAGGTGGCTACTTAAACATACATCTGGGTGGATTGGTTGCGGGTACCTGGGGAGATACTAGTGCTGTCCTTTTTGGTTCGCCACCCAGGCTCAAAGGGATCATAAGATTATTTATGCTGGAAACTTTCATGTGCAACCACAAACCATTATGGGCTCTGGCATAGTTGAGTAAGTTGTGGGGAATCTTTCCATGGTGGGCTAGCAAATGTAGGGGATTGTAGGTGTACCGACCTATCTATCGGTTAAGGGGACCTCTTCGGAAATACTGTATCTCGGTCATCCGTTTCTCAAACACCATGCAGTGCGAGATATACAACGGAGGAGATCGAGTCTTGTGAGGAAAAGTGTGCAAACCTCTGCAGAGTGTACAAACTAATCATGGTTAGCCGTGTCCCCGGTTATGGACATCTTGAGTATCTGGATCTTGAATTATCATGTGGATCTCATCACTCTAAATTAATTTGTTGGGATGTTAATAACTTTTAATTGGGATTGAGATGGGGTTACCATTCTCAATGTTTTTCAACCAACTTTGTAGTTAAATAAAATATACTCCTTTGTTGCAGGGAAAAATTGGTTTTTCGCAGAAACATTATAACCATAGAGCCTCCACTAGCCATGTATGCATATAGTGATAGCATTTACTTGTTCATTTCTCTACTGTGTTATCTTGCCAGCATATACCATGTGCTGACCTGTTTTCGGGCTGCAACATATCATGTTGCAGACTTTTCAGACAACGCGTAAGGTGCGCTAGGTCGTTTGCCGTGCACTCAGTTATGATGTTGGAGTTGATGGACTCACTTTATCTTCCAAGCCTTCCGCTGTTATCTTATTTAGATTGCCTTAAGCCATATTTATTGTAATAAGTTCTCTTTTGAGACATTCGATGTAATAAGTGTGTGATTGCTACTTTGTTATAAATCTTTCAAATACTGTGTGTGTCAGCATTACGGATCCAGGGATGACACTTATGCACAGAGATTTGACCGTTTGAGGTCGGATCGCTACAATTTATAGTTAAAAAATAAAATTTCAAAATTTGTTCAAGTAATTTAGAAATTGTTCAAAACTAAAAAAAATCACCTTCACAAATATTGGTTCTTGTTTTGATAAAATGTTCACAATTGTTTTTATAATCTGTTTGATGTCCCAAAACAAATACCTGTTTTATAATTATTTTAAGAATTTAAAATTGTGTTCGCATTAGTTCAAAAATTCATTTCTTGTTTTCTGAAATGTGTTCATTTTTCAAAAATGTATACATGTAGAAAATAACATGCAACATGGAATATCCCACAACTGTAAGTCTTAAATAATGTCACGATGCGTGTTTAATCATAAAGAACAATTAGCTCCAGTGGCTAGTACCACTCGTTGAGGAGATGGACGTCTTTACTGCTGTAAACACAGTTCACGAGTGCCTCTCAATGGGCCGGCCAAGTCGCACAGCTCTTGTGCGTCGCGCTCGCAATTAGCCACAAAATGCGGCACATAGAAGCTCCCTACAAGACTTGTCTCGGAGGTCGAATTGTGCGCGTGGGCTAGCTCCCTGTCGGGCTAGAGTGATTAATTGAGACAAACAAATAACTAAGAGGGCACAAGTTTCTCAAAAAAAGGGCACAAAAAACGCTGATGTCATACTTAGATGTGACAAAGTTATTTCACATCTAGATGAGTCTTAGACACACCTTAAAAATTGATGTTAGCTTACTGAGAATGTCCATAGTAATGAGTTCCTTATTTACTACTCTTTTTTACTTTTAGCAAGTTCCCAACTTAGTTTAGTTTTGATGTTCATTTCAAACAAAACAAACAAGACATAAAATAAACAAAAAGAAAACCAACATGTAAAGGTTCACACAATATATAAAGAAAGCTATACAAAAACCCTACCAGCGAAGCACGGCATGCCACTGCACGGGTAGCGGCTAGTAACCTCTGTGTTGGTTTAGGGCATCTCCAGCCGTTGCCCCCCCTCCCACAGGACGCATAAAAATCGCCCCCTAGGGGCGAGCCGGCGATACAATCGGCGCTGGGGGTGGTTTTGCGCCCAGTCGTCGCCCCCAGCTCGCCCCCAGGCGCCGAAATTGGCCCACTTTGCAGCCCAATTTCGGTGAATAAAGGGCCCATATGGGCGAGAATAGGCCCATATTCAGCGTGGTTTCGCCGTGTTTCGGCGTTCAATTATCAACACAATTATTTCTTATCACATATTTCATCACAGAAAAATCAAATACTTCAACAAAATAGTACAACAACAAATAGTTCAATACAAATTATATAGTTCAACAAATAAAAACTCGTATTTCATCACACGGCGTCCTCCTTGAGCCTCCATAGGTGCTCAATCAGATCTTTCTGCACTTGATGATGCACCTGTGGGTCTCGGATCTCCTGACGCATACTGAGATAGGCAGTCCAAGTTGCCGGTAGCTGGTGATCAACTTCGGCTAGAGGACCCTGCCTGTAGTATGGTTCAGTGTCAAACACTGGGTCTTCTTGCTCGCTCTCGATGATCATGTTGTGCAAAATGACACAGCAAGTCATAATCTCCCACATTTGATCTTTGGACCAGGTCTGAACGGGGTACCGAACAACAGCAAATCGAGATTGGAGCACACCAAATGCCCGCTCGACATCCTTCCTGCAAGCCTCCTGAAGCTTCGCAAACCAGGCGTTCTTGCCTCCTGCCACAGGGTTTGACATCGTCTTCACAAATGTCGACCATCTCGGATAGATGCCGTCAGCTAGATACTACCCCTTGTTGTATTGGTGCCCATTGATCTCGAAGTTCACCGGAGGGGAATGGCCCTCAACGAGCTTGGCAAAAACAGGAGAGCACTGCAGCACGTTGATGTCATTGTGAGTTTCTGGCATACCAAAGAAGGAGTGCCAAATCCAGAGGTCCTGTGTGGCTACCGCCTCAAGCACCACAGTGCAACCGCCTTTGGCGCCTTTGTACATCCCCCGCCAACCAAATGGGCAATTCTTCCATTTCCAATGCATGCAGTCGATGCTTCCAAGCATCCCAGGAAATCCTCTTACTGCATTCTGGGCTAGGATCCGAGCAGTGTCTTCCGCATTGGGTGTTCTCAAGTATTATGGCCCAAACACTGCCACCACTGCCAGACAGAACTTGTAGAAACACTCTATGCTGGTGGAATCGGCCATGCGCCCATAGTCGTCAAGTGAATCACTGGGAGCTCCATATGCAAGCATCCTCATCGCTGTCGTGCACTTCTGGATGGAGGTGAATCCAAGAGCGCCAGTGCAATCCCTCTTGCACTTGAAGTAGTTGTTGAACTCCCGGATGGAATTCACAATCCTGAGGAAGAGCTTTCGGCTCATCCGATAACGGCGCCGAAATGTTCTCTCTCCATGAAGTGGAGCATCGGTGAAGTAGTCGGAGTAGAGCATGCAGTAGCCTTGGAGACGATGCCGGTTCTTTGCTTTCATCCGCCCGACGCTGAGCCACCTCGCCGTGGCTTTTCATTGCTCGCCAGCAGCTGGGCGAGGGCGGCGAGCACCATGAGATGCTCTTCTTCTTGGACATCGGCCGCGACTTCCTCCTCCAGCAGCGCGGCGAGCTCTTCCTCCTCATCCGAGTGCATCGCCGATGAGGCAGGCAAAACGCAGAACACCTTGCGCTCGGTGGGCGTGTACCCGCCGTTAAACCGCGCCTCCGCGGCCGGAAACGGCGGCCGAAAACGCCCAGCTGCTGTGGGAGGGGCTGCCGCGGCGAAGCGCTGCTATTTTCCGGCGGGGAATGGCTATCTAGCGGAGTAGGGCGGCGGCCGTCGCCGGGATATAGCTAGTGGTGGCCGAGGGCGCGGGGGGTGCGAGGCGAGTCGGGGGAAGAAAACCTTGATTTTTCCCCTGTCGGTGTGGGCCAGGCGTGCTTTTCCCTAGCGCCGGAGCCCCCAACTGCTCCCCAGCGTGCCGGGTTCGGCCTGTGATCGCCGGGCGGAAAAAAGGTCCGAACCGGCGATTTTCGGCGTCCTGGGGGCGCGACTGGACCGTTTTTTCGGCGCCGGCACCGAAAAAGTGGCCTGGGGGGCCCTGTTGGGGGCGCGGCTGAAGATGCCCTTAGAGGTACGTGGTAGGTAGTACTATTTATGCATGAAAAGGCAACAGATATACCCCGCAAAAAAAAGCAACAGATATATGCTCTCTGAGGATAAAAGAAATCATGGGAGTGACCGACTGCATGCATGTTTCACCAAATTCTTTTATGTAGCATATAATTAAGTTTTACTACTTAGAGGAAGCACCACATATTGTAGTACTCCCTCCATCCTAAATTGCTTGTTTTAAATTTGTTTAGATACATATACGGATGACAAATAATTTGGGGCAGAGGTAATACATATTTGGATGCAGTAAGCGGTAACACCAAAAAAAAACATGACTTAACATTTCCAGCTCTCAATTATTTCCTCACGCAGCAGCACGTGCCACCATGCTCTGCCGTGCAATAGCTTGCATCCATGTCGTAACCCTGAGTTCTGCAGTAAAGCTTGCACACTCCGTCGTAGTTTGGTGGCGGCGTGGGCGCGCAGGTTTTCGCCTGTACACACATCTTGGTGGTACCTATTTATACGAATGCATGCATGACCCAGTCAGCACATAATACTCAATATATAGTGCAAAATAAATCACCTGGGGACTTTGCCTGAATAAACAATTAGTCACCCCCTTCACTATTATAGGACGTTCTAGTAACTTTTTTCTTATTTAAATGTATATGGACGTATTTTACTGTGTTTGTTCATTCGTTTTGTTTGTATGTATTCTCTCCGTTCTAAATTACTCGTCGTAGTTTTAGTTTAAATTTGTGAAAATAGGGAGTACGTACCTGCTGCATGGCAGGAAATGATGGTGGTAGACATGGCCAGGAGAGCCATCAAGCACAGAACTGCGGTGTTGTCTCTGGTGCGCGTCATGTTGGCGATCCTTTTCTTTGTACCGTCGGTGTCCTTCCCTAGCGACGATGTCACCGGAATAGGGCGTGCTAGTGTTTATATAGATAGAGATAGGAGAATGGATTTAATGTCATTTTAGTATTTCCTTTTTTTTGCGAGGTAGTATTTCCTGTATTAACGTGCTGGCAAATAGTTTAGAATTAATTTTGGCCCATGATATCTTCATGTATTTACCCTTTCCTTATCAGCGTGCTGGCAAATACTTTAGTAGAATCAATTTTGCCCATTTTTATCTTCATGTATTAATCAGTTCCTTATTAACACGGGGGCAGATGAGATAGCCTCCTCGATTATGTCTTGCCTTTATCAGTGTACTAGTTAATTGATCGCGCGTTGCAACGAAGGACGTACTTAACTTAGTAGTTCAACACCGGTCGTGTCTACCATATAATAGTCAGTTGGTGGAGTTCATCTTTGAACAAAAATATCAAGTTCTGTTCAATAAAACCACCTTGGTGACCGTAAACAATGTACTATCTCTAAGTCCAGTGATCAAAGTGAATTTTTCGTCCAAGTTGAGTGAACACCCATGTACTAAGGTAATCAAATAAGTAAGTTAATTGTTGTAAGGGTCAAAAATTTTGTCTATTAGAGGCTTGTTTAGAATCATGAAGATTTCATAGGTGGTTGAAAATTTTCCCAAATGGACTGGCGAGCTTGGGCTCCCTAATTTCAGATGGTTGAACATTGCTTTTGGTGTGCGTGCTATGGCTGCGGGGAACTGAGAATGTTAGACCTTGGGGGAGTATCTCGCAGTAGTTTTTGTGGATGTGGGGGATGGTAAATCCTTCGTTTTGTTGGGAAGACACATGGTTGCATGGATTTCGGATCTAGGAATTTGCCCCGCGCCTTTGCAAGAGGACCAGACCTCGGGTGCGGGCTGCCAGGACAGTTCATGACATGGTGTACGGGGCATGGCCGTCGGATTTGGGGCCAAATCTGGAGGCCGCGAAGCTGGCAGAGTACTTGGCATTGTGGGACGCGATCTCCCCTTCAGGAGTGAGTCTAGGATTCGGTGTGCAAGACTTGGGAAGCCTCGGGATTTTACTCCATCCGTTCGACATACGCTAGCGAATTTATCGGTAGAGTTTAAGACTTGGGAACCATGTTCACTTGGCAATCCGGAGCGCCCTTGCAATGCAAAATCTTCTCCTGGTGGCTTGCCCTGCGTAACAGATTTCAGACCTTCGATCGACTAGCCAGCCAAGGACTTCCGCATCAGGAAGCTTGCCCACTTTGTCACAAGGAACAAGAAAGCATTGATCATTTGGTGGTCTCGTGTGTCTTTGCACGATCGATCTAGTATGAAGTGATGTCGTCTTGGGTAATAGCGAATTAATGGATGCAGGGATGGATGACTGCCTGTTGGGATGGTGCACTTTGCTAAGCCCCATGCAAAAACTCAAGAAAAATCGGTAGACATGATATTATGTTTGGAAACACCTCACTATCTATGGACGGTGTCATTGATAGGGTCCTAGTGGTGGGTAACTTGTGGCAATTAGCGGGTAAGTTCAAAGAGGATTCGACACTGGGTTTTCATCGGTTGTCTACGTGGATGTATTGCAAGTAGTCGCACTATTGTAGACTCGTGGACGGGTTCTTCTACCCTCTTCTTTGTATGAATGTTTGATACACATGCTTATGCGTATTTTAGAATAAAAACAAGGTTTCTCCTTGTTGTTTTGGGATGGTTGATTAAACTCCAGTTCTAAATCCTACAATTGTAATTTATTCTATTTGTGTACATAGAAGCATGGAGTTTCTGCATACGCCCTAATCTAGGGTTCATGATCAGGAGCAAAATGTCATCTGAAAATTGCAAATAAACCAGGATTGTTACCAACTGTTGGTAGTGTGGTGCCTTTTGAAGAGGATTTGGTAGAAACTAAATTAACATGTCCATCTTCTAGCCGATATGTTGATTTCTCATTTATTTTTATTTTTTGTCAGACACTTGGTGTTTGGCTGTGTACATCCTCGTTATGCAGAGGCTGGGTGTTACTCATCATGTTTTGTATCTGTTTGATGCTACATTTTAAGTTAATAAAAACACCCTTTATCAAAAAATGTCCATCTTCTAGCAAAATAATGGAACGGTGACTCTGTAAAGCCCCGTGAATTATACTTATCAGCTTGTCTATTCTAGTATAAAAAATTGTATCCTACTATAGATGTAAGACACATGAATTGTTCTTATAACATGGAGTAATCCATTTGACTTAACAAAAAATGGATATCGCCATCCACGTAGACTTGTACATATCAGCCAAAAGATTCCATCAGCTCAGAACCATCTTTACCTCCACTGCAAAGCAGCTTTGATAACCCACAAGTATAGGGGATCACAACAGTTTTCGAGGGTAGAGTATTCAACCCAAATTTATTGATTCGACACAAGGGGAGCCAAAGAATATTCTCAAGTATTAGCAGCTGAGTTGTCAATTCAACCACACCTGGAAACTTAATATCTACAGCAATGTATTTAGTAGCAAAGTAATATGATAGTAGTGGTAACAGTGGCAAAAGTAACGGTAGCAGTTTGGTTTTATAGTGATTGTAACAGTAGCAACGGAAAAGTAAATAAGCGAAGATCAATATATGAAAAGCTCGTAGGCAATGGACCAGTGATGGATAATTATGTCGGATGCGATTCCTCATGCAATAGTTATAACATAGGGTGACACAGAATTAGCTCCAGTTTATCAATGTAATGTAGGCATGTATTCCGAATATAGTCATACGTGCTTATGGAAAAGAACTTGCATGACATCTTTTGTCCTACCCTCCCGTGGCAGCGGGGTCCTATTGGAAACTAAGGGATATTAAGACCTCCTTTTAATAGAGTACCGGACCAAAGCATTACCACATAGTGAATACATGAACTCCTCAAACTACGGTCATCACCGGTAAGTATCCCGATTATTGTCACTTCGGGGTTAATGGATCATAACACATAATAGGTGACTATAGACTTGCAAGATAGGATCAAGAACTCACATACATTCATGAAAACATAATAGGTTCAGATCTAAAATCATGGCACTCGGGCCCTAGTGACAAGCATTAAGCATAGCAAAGTCATAGCAACATCAATCTCAGAACATAATGGATACTAGGGATCAAACCCTAACAAAACTAACTCGATTACATGATAAATGTCATCCAACCCATCACCGTCCAGCAAGCCTATGATGAAATTACTCACACACGACGGTGAGCATCATGAAATTGGTGATGGAGGAAGGTTGATGATGACGATGGCGATGGATTCCCCTCTCCGGAGCCCCAAACGGACTCCAGATCAGCCCTCCCGAGAGAGTTTAGGGCTTGGCGGCAGCTCCGTATCGTAAAACGCGATGAATCCTTCTCTCTTATATTTTTTCTTCCTGAACACGAATATATGGAGTTGGAGTTGAGGTCGGTGGAGCGTCAGGGGGCCCACGAGGCGGGGGGCGCGCCCAGGGGGTAGGCGCGCCCCTACCCTCGTGGATAGGGTGTGGCCCCCCTGTCCTTGATTCTTTCTCCAGTATTTTTTATATATTCCAAAAATAATCTCTGTTGATTTTTAGGTCATTCCGAGAACTTTTATTTCTGCACAAAAATAACACCATGGCAATTCTGCTGAAAACAGCGTCAGTCCGGGTTAGTTCCATTCAAATCATGCAAGTTAGAGTCCAAAACAAGGACAAAAGTGTTTGCAAAAGTAGATACGACGGAGACGTATCAACTCCCCCAAGATTAAACCTTTGCTTGTCCTCAAGCAATTCAGTTTGACAAATTGAAAGTGATAAAAAAATTTACAAACTCTGTTTGCTTTTGTTGTTGTAAATATGTAAAGCCAACATTCAAGTTTTCAGTAAAGATTATGAATTAACCATATTCACAATAACATTTAGGTCTCATGTTTACTCATATCAATGACATAATCAACTAGCGAGCAATAATAGTAAATCTCGGATGAAAACACTTTCTCCAAACAATCATAATATGATATAACAAGATGGTATCTCGCTAGCCCTTTCTAAGACCGCAAAACATAAATGCAGAGCACCTTTAAAGATCAAGGGCTGACTGGAAATTGTAATTCATGGTAAAAGAGATCCAGTCAAGTCATACTCAATGTAAACTAATAATAATACATGCAATGACAGCGGTGCTCTCCAACTGGTGTTTTTAATAAGAGGATGATGACTCAACGTAAAAGTAAATAGATAGGCCCTTCGCAGAGGGAAGGAGGGGTTTGTAGAGGTGCCAGAGCTCGATTTTGAAATAGAGATGAATAATATTTTGAGCGGTATACTTTCATTGTCAATATAACAACCGAGAGATCTCGATATCTTCCATGCTACACACATTATAGGCGGTTCCCAAGCAGAATGGTAAAGTTTATACTCCCCCACCACCAACAAGCATCAAACCATGGCTTGCCCGAAACAACGGGTGCCTCCAACTAACAACAATCCTGGGGGAGTTTTGTTTGCAATTATTTTGATTTGATTTGAGCATGGGATGGGGATCCCGGTGACCAGCCATTTTCTCGTGAGTGAGGAGCGGAGTCCACTCCTCTTGAGAATAACCCGCCTAGCATGGAAGATACAGACAACCCTAATTGATACATGAGTTATTTGAGCATATAAAATAGAATGTTTATTTGAAGGTTTAGAGTTTGGCACATACAAATTTACTTGGAATGCCAGGTAGATATCGTATATAGGTAGGTATTGTGGACTCATATGGAATAACTTTGGGGTTTATGGAATTGGATGCACAAGCAGTATTCCCGCTTAGTACAAGTGAAGGCTAGAAAGAGACTGTGAAGTGACCAGCTAGAGAGCGACAACAGTCATGAACATGCATTAAAATTAATTAACACTGAATGCAAGCATGAGTAGGATATAATTCACCATGAACATAAATATCGTAGAGGCTATGTTGATTTTGTTTCAACTACATGCGTG